TCACCTCTGGGAGAGCCCACAGAGCCCAGCCCCAAAAGTGATGTCCCCATCAGCATCAAAATGCTGGGAAAAACCTCTGGCAGCAGCAAACCTGGGAGCTCCGGGCGAGCCTGGGAGGGTGATGGGAGGATGGAGAGCTGCAGGGCTGGGCCAGGAGAGCATCACTGGGGGAGCCCTGGGGCTGGGAGGGGCTCCTGCATCTCAAAAGCAGCGCTGAGCTCAGCCCAGCTAAGCCCAGCACGGCTGGAAATAGCCCTGGCTCACAGCTAAACCGAGCCTCCGGATGGACCCTCTCCCTCCTTCGCAGCTCCTATTAGAGGCTATTGTGGAGAGCTTCTCCTGCATTCCCTCCCCACTGAGGCGCTGGATATTTTTAAACTGGGCCAAAAAAAAAAAAAAATCCTTCACAAAGGCAGAGTCAAAAAAACCCCAAACAACAAAAACAACAACAACAAAAATAAGATTTGTTGATTTGGTGGGTGGGTGGTTTTGTTTTGTTTTGTTTTTTTTAATAATGAAGACTTTAAAAATGAGAAGGAATGATGGAAATAATGTGGCTGCCTGAGCAACTGGAATGGAAGGGAAGGAGCTGCTCCTCGGAGCTCATTTGGGATAAATTCAGGACAGCTCTTTCTCCATCGATACCATTGTGCTGTGCCTGTGGCTGAGACACCACAGCAAAGGAAGAGGGGAGCAAGAGGGTGGGGAGGAGGGAGAAGTTGGCTGCAGGAATATTTAGTTTCTTCCAGATGCCCAAAATTCAGTGGAGAATGGTGTGGCCAGTGAGGAACGAGATAGGACAGGGGAAAGGCTTTAAACTGAATGAAGGCAGAGTTAAATGGGATATTAGGGAGGAATTGTTCCCTAGGAGGGTGGAGAGGGGCTGGGATGGAATTCCCAGAGCAGCTGTGGCTGCCCCTGGATCCCTGGAAGTGTCCAAGGCCAGGTTGGACGTTGGGGTTGGAGCAGCCTGGGACAGTGGGAGGGGTCCCTGCCATGGCAGGGGTGGGATGGGATGAACTTTGAGGTCCTTTCCCACCCAACCCATTCCATGATTCTGTGGCCAGTGAGGCCCTGGCACCAAGGGGGAACCAACCCAGCCCCATCAGGTCATTGTTCCCTCAGCTCCAGGCCCACAGAATCCATCAGGGGTGTGCCAGCAGCAGGGAGACCCCACGGGGGACACATCAGGGTGAGACTTTCCAGGCCAGGTGAGGACTTGGGACACAGGGAGCAAACCCACAATGACCCCAAGACAGACACCATAAATCCACACAACATCCACCAGGCTCCAGCCCTGTGCCACCCCAGGGATGAGTACCAGCCCTGGTGTCACCTTTCCTCCTTCCCACACCTTCCCCTCTCTCCTGCTCCCTTGGGAAGTTCACACCTGCCCAGAAACTAAACCCACACAGCCAGCAGGATCCCATCACTCCCTCTGGACGGGGTTTGGGGACTGGTGACACCCCAGGATTTTCTGCCTCCCCCAGAGCCCGGGAGCAGCACAGGTGAAGGCATTGGTGAAAGCTCAGAGAGACTCCGAGGTTTTAGTGCAATGTTTATGGCACACGTGTGCAGCGGGGAGAGCTGGGAGGGGAGCAGGGCCAGCACGGGCCATTTGCTGAGGGCTGGGCTGGGATAAAGGCTGGGGAAATGGGGGATGAGCCCTAACCCAGGGACCCCAAATTGTGCTGCTGGAGCAGGGAGCAGTTCACCCAAACGAGGGCTCAGCCTGCCCATCCCACTCAGCCTCAGCCCCCAAAGCCATCCTGCCTCCCATGGGACTGCACATCCCAAAAACATCAGCAGGAGACTCCTCGGGATCCTGCTGGGGGCTGGATCCGCCCCTCCCTGCTCTGCCCACCTTGGAATTTTCACACATGCACTTGTGAGGATTTTAATACCCCCACAATTAAAATCCCATCTCATCCCAGCTGCAATTAAGTTTCTAATCTTCATTTACTTATGCTAAAAGCACTTCCCACAGCAGCAAGGAGGGGTTGGAGGAGCAGCCAGACAAACCAGGGCTGGTTCAGTTTGCAAAGCCTCGTCACGGCTCCAAATTAAAGCGAACTGAGACTACAATTGAATTATCCGGGATGGTTCCTGTCAAGCAATTATGTTCCATGAGAGCCTGGGAATGCTATTTGCTCTCGTCTGACAGCTCATCTGAGGGGCTGGAGGGCCCATCCGAGCTGGAGGGGGGGAGGGAAATACCAGCACGTGGAATTCAGGTGGCAACAGCAGCTCCCAAAGAGAATTTTTGGGAAAACTCTGGGATTTGGCTGATGGGAGATGAGTATGTAGGGGAAATGGTGCTGAGACGTGCCAGGGTGGGGCTGGGAGATGCTCTGTACAACCAGAGCCTGTCTGCATGCCCAGCTGTGTAGGAATGAGCCCGGCAAGGCCATAGGAGAGAGGACGGATCCCAATTCCAGCTGCCCTGCTGTTCCCAGCCCCGGAGCATCCCCAAATTGGGGGTTTTGGCAGCGGGGAGCAAAGCCAGGAGCAGGGCAGCGATGGGGAGAGCGAGAGGGCAGGGCTGGCTGATGAGACACACAACGGGAAAAGCGGATAAATTAGCGGGAATGTGGAATGTGCCCCGCTGGGAGGGAGACCCGCGGGGGGACACACAAGTGGCCGCGGCTGGGAGGGAGAGAAGCCACTTGTGAAAGGTCAGCGCTGCCCACGAAGGGGCTGCGGGGGCAGCGGGACAGATGCATTTCCCCGCGGGGAGCAGCTAATGGCAGTGGCGCTCCCGGGCCCCGCAGGATCCGGGGATAAACTCGTGAATCAGCGACATTCCCCCTTTTTTTTTTCATGACAAAACAGCAAAGAAATAAATAAAGGGAATTAAATAAACCCACAGAGAACCGAGAACAAGCCCTCCCCAGGCGAGCATCATCGTGAGCACTGGACGGGGATCAGAGGAGCCCTGGTGATAAACTGAAGTCATTGTCCTGTGGGTCACCCCTGCTCGGGGGGGGACTGGGGACTGTCCCCAGAGCCTGTGCACGGAGAGCCGCCCGCTGTCCCCATCCCACCGCAGCCGGGCGTTCCCGGGGCTGCTCCGGCTCCTCCCGCCCGCGCAGAGAGGATTCCCGGGATGATCAAACGCTGCGGGGGAAGGGTCTCGTTCCCGGCCCGCTGTCGGCCCCGCTGCTCCTCCTTAGCGCAGGATGGGAAGCGGAGAGGAAGAGGAGACCCGCTGGGGGAGGAAGGCACCGTCCCTTAACTCCTCCCGTCACAGCCTGCAAGGGACACAAGGAGCAGAGTCAGCACCCGGCCCCTCCTCCCGTGGGAACGCGCGGGTTTGTAGGGAAGTTCTTTGGAAAAAAAACCCCAAACTCCTGGAACATCTCTGCCACGGAGCTGCTCCCCAAAGCAGCGGCAGCGGGGGAAGCTCCTGCACCTCCCTGCCTGGAGCATCATCCAGAGGGGAAAGGGCTCCTTGGGTACCACTCCCATCCCTGCGCATCCCGGATCCCGCCGGGGTTTTGCGCCCTTGGATCCAGGGAGGGCAGAGCCTGAGGGCACCCCAGCCAGGATTCCTGGACTCCGCGAGGAAGCCAGGACCTAACAGGAACAACGGCCAGAGCTGAAGTGATTCCGTCCCTGCGGAAGGAATCAGCTCCCACGGAAAGCTGAGCTGGAACATCCTGATTAGCACAAGATTGGGCCGGTAATTAACAGGGAGCTGCGGGGCAGCCCCAGCCCGGGGCGAGCAGAGCGTGGCTCAGTGACTGAAAAAACCTTCCCAAACGCAGCGGAGCAATCCCGCAGCTGCCTTGGGGCCCAGCATCCTTCAGCATTCCCGGCCCGGCTGCCGGAGCCGCCCCGGTGCCTGCTCGGAGCGTGGCTTGGGAATTAATTCCGCTCCTGATTCACATCTCCCGTTCCGGGTGTTTTTGGGGCCACCTGACCGCGGGCTTTGCGCTGCTCCCGGCAGCTCCCCGGGGACAGGGAGTGGCACAAGGGACATCCCAGTCACTCCCGGGGCCGCCCAGAGTAGGAAGAAAGGCAGTTTGTTATCGGCATCTCCAACCCTCGTTCCTGAAGCCCCCACAACGTCCTCACTTCTCTCCCTGAGCTCACATCTCCTTCCCTCCATCCATTCCCATTTCCAGCCTCCGGGGATGCACGCTGGGAGGAGGAAAATTCCCCCCCGTGAATGCCACCCCCACACAGGCGAGATTTTGGTTCTATTTGTCACAATATGACAAATTCCGCGGAGGAAAATGAGTTTCTAAGTGATTGCTCTGCATTTTGCCTGCTGTTCCCAACAGGGCAGATCCTGAAATCCCAACTGGGGACCCACTGACGCCGTTTCCTGGAGCAGAGGGATGTGACTGAGCCAAAGCAATGGAACAGAGCAGGATTTGGCCATGGGAGAAGAAGGGATCAGGCTGGAAGCTGCAATGGCTGAGGGTCTGGGAAGGGTCCCTGGGCAGGGCATTCCCCCATCCATTAAATCCAGGAATAGGTGAGAGGAATGTCGGATTTGTCTTTACAAACGAGCTGTGGGTCTGCTGGGAGATAAAACCAGCACTGAGAGAGAAGAGAAACAATGTGATGGATTCCAGTGATTGCAGAATGGAAAAAGATATTTGCCTTTACAAACAAAGTGTACGTTTGCTGATAAATGAAACTGGATATTGAAAGATCAAAGAAGCAATGGGGAAAAAGCATGAATTGTATAAAAATTAAAAAGGAAGATTATACATTAGAGGGGAATTTCAGGTATCAGGCGTTCCAGGAAGTCTGTGCCTCTCAAGTACCTCAGCCAATGGGGAAAGAGACATGGAAATGCAGCCAGGAAAATAGGATAAAAAGGAGGCTGCGTCCTCCAAAAATCTGAGAGATCCCAGGGGAATGCCCCATGGCCTCTCCCTTTATTCAAATAAAGCAAAAAAGACTCCTCTGTCTCCTTTTAGGACATAAACCTCTGGTGTTTGTGGATTAATTCTCCTGACATAGGGGAGGATGGGCAGGGATCAGACTTACTCTGCTGACTTCCAGAAGTGCCCCGGGTGGGAAAGGCGGCGGTTCCGCTTTGGCAGTTTCTCCAGCATGTCCATGAGCTTGGTGAAGGTGGGTCTCTCCTCCTGCTCGTAGGCCCAGCAGAACAGGAGGATGTCCTGGAGCCACAGGGAGAGCAGTGAGGAAACCCAGCCAAGCCCTCTGAGCCAGTCCCTCACCCACCACAACCCTCACCACAAGGAGCCCGTGTCTAATTCCCAGTGTCCATCACCACACCCTTGGGAAGTGGAATGGAGAGGGGGTATCCATCCTATGAGGACCCATCTCCACCACTGGATTCTTGGGAAAGGCTGGGATGAAGTGGGGGTGTCCATCCCACGAGCACCCATCTGCATCCCCACATCCTTGGGAAGGGTTTGGGATGGAGGGGATGTGTCCAACCCATGAGTACCCATCTCCATCACTGGATTCTTGGGATGGATGGAATGTGCAACCCATTTGCATCCCCACATCCTCACAAAAGGGATGAAGGGGGGGATGTCCATCCCATGAGGACCACACCCATGATCTCCATACCCACATCCTTGGGAAGGAGGCAATGTGCTCAACCCATAAGGATCTATCTATCTCCACCATTGGATTCTTGGGAAAGGCTGGGATGGGGGGGATGTATCCATCCCATAAGGAGTCATTTCCATCACCAGATTCTTGGGAAGGTTTTGGGATGGAGGGAATGTGCCCAACCCA